GTGTGCTCTTCCGATCTTTAACAATGTTTCTGAAGCATTGCATTGCAATGTTGCAACTTTGCTGCAATATTGCTGCAAACTTCTGTGCTGTATGGGATTAGCAGAATATAACAAGAGATAAACATTTCAACCTATATCAGTTAATATCGAATAACGTCTTTGTAAAAATAGTAAATACAATCGTTGTTAATAGTATATAGCTGCATTAATAATTTATGTTTTACCTGATTAGAGGCCACACTGTCAAGACCGCTTGTTGGTTCGTCTAATAAGAAAACGGATGGCTTGGCGATCATTTCTACGCCGATAGAGAGTCTTTTCCGTTCGCCACCACTTAATTTGCTTGCCAATGTATCCAAGCAATTTGATAAGCCCAAACTTTTTGCGAGATCGTTTATCTAACAGAAATATCTAATATATGTATGTAATATAATAATGTGTGCAATGTCTTATTTATATAATTCTGCTTACAAGGGAACCTCGCAAAGTGTTAAATTCTAATCTTAATGAAACTTTGCACACTTACAGGTTACGTAAATAGACGAATTTAAAAAATATTAGTTGATGCTAAAAAACGATTCGAAAGGGTGAAATCACCTGTTATATATAAAGCAGTTTTCAGATTTTTTTTTCGTTATATCTTGAAAACTATTCAAGATATCAAAAAATGTTTTATACAAAAATTTTACAGTAATATTACCTATTTATTAAAGTTAATACAGTATTTTTAAAAATTATTATTTTCAATAATTTTTTAAAGATAATTATCAACATAAATGAATAGAGATAATTTTACTGTAACATTTTTGTATAAAAAATTTTTCAATATTTTAAAGTTTTCGAGATATAACGAAAAAAAGTTAAATATAGCTTTTATATAGAAAGTGACAAAAACGTTTTTCCGTGACAATTTCCACACGTGGAAATGATAACGTTTAATTTGTCACGGAAAACAATAAAACAATGTTTCCGCATGTGGAAATCATATCGTTTTGTTACGGAAAACAATATAAGACAATATTCGACTAATATCTACATATATATGTATATAATATAACTAGTTTTATAACAAAGTTAATTGTTAAGTTCTGATTTTAATGTATACGTATAAATGCTATTATTTTCACATGTGTGGAATTAATGTTTTACATAAAATGTAAAACATTTTTTGATATCAATTTTAAATAGTTTGCGAGATATACGAAAAGAACTGAAAATTGCTTTACATATGACGGGTGATTTTAACCCTTCAAATCGTTTTTTAGCACAAATTAAGGGGGTATTCTAGTCAAGAGACCAAATTTTTGTGCTATTTTTGCGAATTAAAAAAAAAGTATAAAGTTTTTTGGGACAGGGTTTTTTCCTACATACGTATTTGAAGCATGTTTCAACATATTTGTATTTAAAAATAACTATAAATATGCGCTGTATACAATATATACTGAGAACATGAAAAAAAAAGATTGGTCTACGGTACCCATAATTCCGGCTGTTCTGTTCATTTAAAACAAAAAAATCAATTAAAACAAAGAAATTCTTAATTAGTATAAGTTTGGCTATAGCTGGTACCAGAACATAAATAAAATATTAAAAATTTAAAAATTGACATTATTTTGAAAATTAATTTTAAATTTTTATTATGTTTTTCAACTTTAAAAGGTTGTAAAAATTAAAAAAAAAAACATATTTTGACTTGATCGAGGTAGGGGCTATAACCACAAATATGCTGAAAATGTGTGCACAAGTTCGAATTGATTGGTCAATTGGTTTTCGAGATATGGGTACCAATTTGAAAAACATAGTTTCGAAAAAAACGGATTTAAAGTTTTTTGTACATGATTACATAGATTGAGATTACTTTCTCAAGTGCTATGGCCGGTATTCATAAGTCGGTTTTTATTTCAAAGCCCTCTTAAGTAATAATGTCTTAAGATGCTAATACGCTCTGTTATTGGCTTGCAACATCTTAAGACTATACTTAAGACGATCTCAAATATAAGAATCGATTACGAGTACCGGCCTATAACTTTGTTAATTTTGCGAATTGGGTTAAATCCTTTTGCTGACATATTGTCCATATCAAATACTTGCAAAATATGTAAA